TATACCTACGAAGGAATAAAGGAGCTTCCCCAACTTCTACCTGCATGGCTGCAATGGGAGATGTTTTGAACGCACCACAACATATTCTAAGAGCTTGATTCTGTATAGTTTAAATCTTTTTGAGTGTGGTTTTAGATGCAAATCCGTAAATTATACTTCCATAATCTAAACTTGGTCTGATTAATGTATAATAAATTACTGTTCTCCGGCCGTCTCAGTAGGAAACATGGCGGCCGTCAGTAAGTACTTGACAGCGAAGAACTCCGCTGTAGCTGGCGGCATCCTACTCGTTTTATACTTCCTAAAGCAGAGACGAAGATCCGCTGGACTGAACAGGTATGTGAAAACACATATAAAGTACCTAATGCATGAAATCAGATCACAAATGAAGTCCAGTGTCAGAGTGACCCCGGTTCAACTACAGCAAAATGAGTCCGGCCATGAGCGTGTACAGTCTAGTGTACAGTAGGTAGGTTTTGAGACACATCCTTTATAATGAAATACAGCCCTTAAAACCCACATGAGGCTTACTGAACATTATTATGCTTGTTGCAGTCTCACTATCCAACAATGGACTCTTTCATTAAAGGACAGTGTTTGTTGGATAAGTGTTGCCACAGTATGCATTCAAAAATTCTATAGGCAAGAATTAATCATATTTGCACCTTGAACTCTCTAGATTTAAGATTCAGCATCAAGCATACCTATGACAGAAAAATGGCCATTTTTATGTAATGTTTCATATTGGATGTTATTGGATGTACTGTAGTAATTATTATTAATAGATTTATTTCATCATCCTCAACAGGAAGAAGGGTTCTTCAAATGATCTGAACAGTGAGGTAAGAGAAATGTATTTATTGATCTTTGCATGAACTGATAAAAACTGTATACGCACAGAATGATGTATATATAAGTTGCAATCTTGACTATTTAGTTAAAGATCCATGAGTTTCCTTTGACTTTCAACACTTCTTGTGTTTTAAAACCAGCAGAAAGATGGCAAGAAAGAGAGAGCTGCTGTGGACAAGCTCTTTTTTATCCGGATCTCACGGATCGTCAGGATTATGGTGCCGAGGTTCTTCTGCAAAGAGGTGAGAATTGGCTTCATGAAAGTTCTTGCTGAAACAGCAAGTTGGGGTGAGGCATAAATTGAAGGTTTCCCTTTTTTTCAATAGCCAATCACCTTTACTTTATGTCATAGTCAAGAACATGATTTTGTACTTGGTGTTGCTATTTAGAGCAACACCATTTTTTTCTGAACTGAAACATTATGCATTTTATACACTACCATTCAAATTTCTGGGGTCACTACATTTTTTGTTTTGTTTTTATAAATTATTTTAATTCAGCAATGCATTAAATTGATCAAAAGTTACATTAAGACTTTTTTTTAGTGAATAAAAAATTCACTATTCTTTTTATCAAAGAAATTTCCCCAAAAAATATTAAGCAGCACAACTGTTTTCAACATTCGATAATAATATTTGTTTAGCAGCAAGTCAGCATA